TAAGCCTGCCTTTTCCCGCGCTGGCTACCCGCCGCTTTCCTTTGAATCCGACGACAAGGATTCTCAACATGCTCTCCCCTCTACATCGTTCGTCCCACAACTCCAATCTGCACTCGGACGGCTGTCGACAGGCGATATCCAAGGAGGGTCGACACTCTTAGGTAACGCGCTGCGACAGCAGCAGAGCTCGCCGCGGTCGCATCTGAAGACGCTTCCGCGACCACAAGGCATTGTGCCTACAAGGGCTAGCGGCAATACGCCGCTCACCAGCGGTTTTCCACCGCCCCCGCCGTCCAGCCGCATGGCTTTCAACGGCACTTCGACAAACGGCTTTGGAAATGCGCGTTCCGCCTTCCAACCGTACATTTCGCCGGCTGCAGCTAACGCTACGGCATCATCGCAACCGACCAATATCAACGACGCTATCGCAGCTAAAGCAAAGGAGCTCGAAGCCCTTCTTGCTCAAGCCGCCTCGGCAACTGCAGCCAGCGGTACTGCCTCCAGCATCGCAGCTCAAGCCACAGGCTTTGAGCGTAGCGACGCTCGTCCACCTCAGCGCCCCGAGCGCCAAGGAACTTTCCAGGCAGTCCAAAGCGGACTACCTCGATCATCGCCAAGGGCACCCACAGCGGGTACCCCACAACCAATGGCGTACGCTCAACAGTACGTTAAGCTTTCAAAGCTACCACCGTTGTCGTTCAACGGTGACCGTACTAAATGGCCAGCCTTCTGGCATCAGTTCAATGCAACCGTGCATGAACATCCGATGAACGATTCCCTCAAATTCGCTCACCTGCAAGGTATGCTCACCGGCGAGGCCCGAACCCTCATCGACGGATACCTTGGCACAGACGCGGACTACTGGTCCGCACTGGCCAGCCTTGAGCAACGCTACGGCGACCCAACCCAGTTGAAGCTACGCCTTAACGCGCAGCTCAACAACGTGAAGCCTGCCGAGAACACGCTCACCTCCGCTCGCCAAGTTTTCGACCAGATGGATGTGCTGCTTCGCCAACTAGCAGTAGCCGGCGAAGACATCAACACGCTGAGCATGGTGACCCTCGTGCAAAAACGGCTTCCCAACTGGTTGCTCATCGAACTCCATCGATACCGCGACCCGATGCAGCCCGACTACGTGTTCTCCATCGATGAACTTCGGCAAGGTGTCAGCTACATCTTGCGCCAACGCGAGCAAATAGCATCCATCCGTGGCACGTCCGACGCGACNCAGCGAGTTAGCTGGTGCAGTGGCGCCCGAATAAGTGCAGAATCAAAGATCGCAAGGCGCAGCGGACAGCTGATAAGCCTCATCGACTATATGCTCGTCTCCTCGCGGTGGGCCCCGATGGTTGAGAAGGCCGGATGTGTGCAACGCTCGGTGTTCCCGTCAGACCATCGGCCGGTGACAATGCGTATGAAGCTTCGCTACGTCGCCCCTAAAAACGCTCGATGCAAGCGGTACGACATGCAGCGACTTACCACCGATGCGGCCACTAAAGAGCGATACCAGCGAGATGTACTCGACCGTCTATACCCGCCAGCAGAACGACGAGACGTTCTGGTCACAGCTGAGTCCTTCACGGCAGCAGTCATCGGGGCAAGAGATGCGCATGTGCCAGAGCTCAAAGCCGAGAAGAGGAAGCCACTCATTTCCTCGGAGCCGAGCGACTAGTAACACAGTTGGCAGACTCGAGGCGCAGGAAAGATGAACAGCGATCTGTTCGCCTGAAGAGGACACTGCGGAGGCAACTGATGCGAGACCGCGAACAACTATGGCAGAGGCGGACAAAGGAAATCGAGGATGCGTGGCGATGCAACAATTCAAAGAAGGTGTACGCCCTCCTATGACGCTACAGCGGCAAACTGAAGGCGGCCTCGGACACATTGGCTGTAGACGGAAGATGTGTCGCAGGCGATCGCTGCCTCGACGCATGGAAGGACCACTTTTCGGCGCTCCTCAACCGCCCACCACCGGCCGGAGAACCGCTTCAAGTGGAGCATCTACAGCGGTACGAAGGTGTAGACGAAGGTCCTCCTACCAGCGAAGAGGTCATAACTGCCATAAAACAAATGCGCAGCGGAAAAGCGTCAGGCGAAGACGGCGTGCAACCCGAACTCTTGAAGGCGCTCCCGGACATGGCAGTAGCAGCGCTTACCTCAGTCTTCAAATCAATCTGGGACTACGAAACTATGCCGGACCAATGGCGGACGGCAGTGGTGATACCGCTCCACAAGAAAGGATCCGTCACCAACCCAGCTAACTACCGAGGCATATCTCTGCTGGACCTGCAGTACAAGCTCCTGGAGAGGATCATTGCAAACCGTATCGTCCCAGCCCGAGACGCCCGCACGCGAGACGAGCAAGCAGGTTTCCGGCCCGGGAGATCAACCATCGACCAGGTCTTCGTCCTTCGCAGATTCATGGAAACCCACCACCGATACAACAAGCCCGTTGAAGTTGCATTTCTCGACTACGCATGCGCGTTCGACTCACCGGACCGTGAGAGAATCTACCAGCTGCTCGAAAGCGACGGCGTCCCGAAGAAGCTCGTACGAATAATACGGGAGATGAACACCGGATCGCAGGCGGTGGTACGAACGCGCAGCGGATGCAGCCAGCCATTCCCTGTAGCTACGAGCGTGAAGCAAGGAAGCGTGCTCGGGCCGCTGTTGTTCAACTACGTCATAGACGCCATCATGCGAGCGTCGGCCAAGGATTTCAACGGCGGCGTGCAGCTGATACCGTCGGCGAAAGTGCTGACCGACCTCGACTACGCGGACGATATCGCGCTGCTGTCAACGTGCCGGGAAGAGCTCCAAATGTTCATCGACAGGGTTGCCGAAAATGCTGCACGCTTCGGCCTGAGACTGAAACCAGCGAAATGCGAACTCCTCAGTGCAAGCCCTGATGAGGCGAACCCGATCACGGTCAACGGAGAGGCGATCAAGAAGGTCAAAAGTTTCTGCTACCTTTGCTCCATAATTACGGCAGACGGCAGCGTGAAGGAAGACATAGCGCAGAGAATTCGGAAGGCGCGCACTGCGTTCACAACCCTCAGCCAGTGCCTCTGGCGCACAAACATCTCGCATCGTATGAAGCTGAGAGTCTACGCGACAGCCATACGCCCAATCTTGCTCTACGCCTCGGAAACATGGCCGCTGACGCAGTGTGAACAGGAACGCCTCAACCGAGCGGAACGGTCATTCATCAGACAGGCTCTCGGGATCAGACCGGCCGACAAAGTCTCAAATTGGGAACTCTGGACGAAGGTTGACGCAGCCCTAGGACCAAGTGTACTCACCGACATCGGCTCAACAATCAGAAAGAGCCGACTTAAGATGCTGGGACACGTGCTCAGACGGGATGCCGACAGGCTGACAAGAATCGCCCTCGAGTACACCGGGGGAACGACGTGGAAGCGACGCCCGGGCGGAACTAGGAACATGTGGACCGATGTAGTGCGCAAAGACCTCGAATTCGCAAACGTCAGAAGGCATCCGCTCTTTCGCAGTACGGACGCCGTCACCACCTGGAATCGCGGCGACTGGCTACGGGTCGCCACGATAATCGCAGAAGATCGCGCTACGTGGCATCAAATCGTTGAGAACAGTGCGGACGGGAAGCGACCGAAAGGACGCGCTCCAATGGACCCGTCTTAAGTCAAGTCAAAAAAGTCTATTAGTGTTCAAAAGCTTGCCTGCACAATAGCTTCAAGAGCTGCTCAGTTAGAAATTGTTATGGGCCGTAGTCCAATTTCATTGGCATCTGCCGCAATTTACATGGCTTCCGAGGCATCGGACGAAAAACGTTCAGCCAAACAAATTGCCAGCATAGTAGGAACCACCGAGACAACTCTACGTCAAATCTACCGCTTACTCATTCCTCATGCAAGCAGCTTGTTTCCAAACAGTACTTTGTAACTTTTATTGCTAAGTACTCACTGCAGGATTGTGCAACGGGATAGCAACAGGGAGGGGCGGGGCTTAATAATTGTGGTTGGTAATACACTACTGTGGCGTTTTGCCGGCAAGCTTGCGGCTAACCTAGAAAACCTAAAGCCCCCGATCTAATCACTTTTCCCATGCCTATGCGCCGAACGGTTTAGAGGACCAAACCAAGTGTTGGAAAGCAAGAAGCCTTCCAAATCTTTCTAAATGTGTAAGGGCAAAAATGTGTTGTGTGCTTTGTGCCTTGAAGTGCAGGACGGAAACCTGCACTTTGAGCAGCACCTGTCTTCGTGGGATGGGTGTTGTTCCTGTGCCCGGTGGGCGCTGGTTTTGGTTTAATATCCCTCCTGTTCTCTGCCTGGGATGAAGCCCAGAGGTTTTGATATCCCTCGTCGATTAAGTGGGCGAGGGGCAGGTTTGAGGATGCGTTAAGCGGGCTGCCAGGAAGGAGCCCGCATTGCCGTCATCAGCTCGAGTGTGAGCTAGCTGCCTTGCTAATAAAGGTGTTTGGATCAGCACCCGACCTGCCTCAACCAGTACCACCAGCACCTAAGCCTAGGACTAAGGGCGCGAAGGGGATAGCAGGAAGCTAGCCCTAAAGGTGTGAAGCAGAAGATCGAGACGACAATCACCAACATTTGGTTAGGAATCTGGGAAGGAACCCCGGATCCCCAACACAAGTGGTTGCATAGTGGTTTCTTTTGTTTGCATTTAAAATCAATGCTAAAATCAAAGAACTTCGGAGTCATCGTCCAGTCGTACACGTACTCAGCTGGCGCGAGTATTTCACGAAAGGCACGGGCAGTTCGCTACAACGTGATTACATTATTGGGTGCTCGCTCCGTTTGAACTCACTGATGCGTTCGTCGCATTTGGCTTGCGCAGCCTCAACCGATGCCTAGTTCGGTTCTCTGCGTCGACGCATTTGTGTTGGATGCGCAGCTTGAAGTGCTGAAGGAGTTTTCCGATAGGCAGGAAGGCCGCCTCAGTTGAGTAGCTGCCGTTGCTGTCGGTTGGAGCGTCGTTGAGAGTGTGCGCTAAATGGGGAATGGTGTAGCGCAACAAAATAGAGCTCGACCTGTGCTTGTAACTTCTGCTTAGACACTGGTTAGGCTGTAAGCAAAAAAAGTGAAAATTACCGCTGTCCGACGTGTACGCGACGATAGAAGCCACCGCCTTTCTCGCCGCCCGTCCGTTGCATGACAACCGACCCGTCGCGCCCACGAACTTCGCCTCCTTGTAGGAATGGCGTGCCACCGCTAGATGGAGTACGAACGTAATGAGCGCAGGTGAGAACCTTATGCAAAGGACAAGCATCATGACACGCTCCTCTAAATTTCGGTATCATTGCTGACATTGCTACGGCTAGTGGACAGGTAAGCTGCAGTGACTGCATATAGCGTACGGCACGGTGGTTGGAGTTCGCCGCGGAACCTCTAAATTCCACATTGGTGCCATACACTATCAGGCCTCTCAACTCGAAAACCATGATCCAGGGCCCTGCAGGTAAAAACCAGGGGGTAAACCAGGGGCTATTTTTCGGACTGTTTCCACACATTTTAAGCTTTATTAACGGTTCTAAATCCATGATCTTTGAGCGATTTCACATAGAGTGACCCGCCGCAGGCGCCGCCAAAGCAATTTTTGGCTTTGTTTGGCGAAAATTTAGCGAAAATCTTTTTTCGCTAGAAACTCTTTCTCTTTTAACGAGAAAATCGGCGATTTCGGTTGTTTTTTTTCGCATGAAAGGGCCCCGCCGCATGCGCCGCCAGCGAGGATTTTGGGTTAAACAGGAAACCTGAAAATGAAAATTTGACATTGTTTTGATGCTACACGCTGTTCTAAGGGCCTTAAAAAATCTAACCCGCCGCAGGCGCCGCCAGAGCGGTTTTCAAAGCTTATTTGGCAAAATTCACTTGAAATTTTGACGCGCTTATGGAGTTGCAAGGCGATTCTAAGTTGTTTTAACGTTGGAAAACCCGCCGCAGGAGAAGCCAACGCTTTTAGGCAGAGCAAACGGTAGGATTGCATTAAAAACAAGTTCCATGACGACATAAATCAGTGAAAAAAGATGACTTGCACCCCCCTGGAATTGCTCACGAAAACCAGGGGCAAAAAGCCAAATCCAGGGGGTACCCCCTGGATCCAGGGGGGTGGATGGGTTTGAGACCCCTGTACACTATCCCTTAATCCCTTCTGTCTTCATAGTTCTTTTGATTCTCTTGTACAGCCCTTTGATTCTCTCGTACAAAATTGGCATTATATTTCCCTTTTGTGGACTGATGGAGCCCCGTTAGACAAATGTCACGTGTACACTTCTACTCCTATAAAGGCGGTGATCGTCAGTTCTAACAGGTAAAATGAAATTTTGTCTCAGTTCTCACAGGTCTCAAACGAAACCGGCGGTTATTGCTGTCAAAGACTATCGAGCTACGATCCGGGTAAATTTTTAAAACCCACAAGGAAGGCTTGCTAGAAGGGAGCCGATCGGACATGCAGATGGACTCCGATGTATTCACTTGCTCATCAGGTAAGTTTTGGCTAGTACTGCGTAGGTAACTCGTCAATGAAGACTGTATGGGTATCTCCGCTTGCTGCAGTAAAACGTGTTTGTCTTTTGACGACATCCGGGGAGGCATGCGAAACTCATGTTGGATAAGTGGACCATGAAACATGAGCAGTTGCTGTTTTTTTACGTTCGCAACATTGCTGCAGGACGCCAAGGTGTAAACAACAATATCAAAGTAGATATAGTCCCTGTGCGATCAATGTCTTATGCTGACGCCCCCGGTGAATATAGCACCCGAGATGGCGTTCGTTTTCCGCTACGATGAAGGCCTGAGCAAGTCGTCGAAATCGTAGGTTGCCGTGCTGCGTCACTGCCGAGCGCATTGAAGCGACGAAAGCCAGGCGTTTTTTTGTGCTTCTAGTGGTATCTTCTACCGGACAAAGTAAGATGTATGTGGCAACAATTCGCTCAAAATCGGACGTCGTGGCGGATCCGGACCAGCACGGAACTTGCGAACCCAAAAAGAGCGTGTTCACACTCGACTTCTCAAGGCGTGTTGCTAGTGCCTGGTGCTGCCAAGAGACAAACTGGCCAGTCGTTCTTTGTGGCGCTCGACCCGAGAGCACCCAGGCGTCGCCAATTTGCACATGAATAAAATGCTGGTTTAATCATGGCTTTATGACTGTGCACCATCGAACTTTTTTCATGGTTGCAAAATACATCGTACCCAGTTTTTCAAGGTAAGACCTATTTAGTACAAGGCACGACGATGAAAAACACGGCCATCCAGCTCAGATCTTCAGGGTATTCCGATTAGCGTTGGTAATAAGTTGGAGTTCAGGGCATCATGTCAGGTCATCTGGATCGAGAGAATGGACTTGCGGAGACAGAGGTTCAGACTCCACTCAGCGTCAGACTTCAGAAGGCCTCTGTGCTCGTTGTGATTTTCCCACTGCTCGTTAACCATAATCGTGAGCCGATCATGAGTCGTGGTATAATCCTCCAATGCGTCAAAATATCAGGGCATGCCCTGCAGGTCAGGTCAAGCAAAATATCAGGGCCGTCCACGGCATCAGGTCAGGTCAAAATTTGAGGGCATGACCTGCAGGTCAGGGCAAATAAGATTCAGGTCATCAGGTCCGGGCAACAGGGCAGAAAACCTGACCTGACGTGCAGGTCAGGTCAGGGCTGCCCTGATCGGATGCGAACCCTAATTCCGATCCGTTAAGCCAGAGAAAAAAATTACGCGTAGGTTAAATCAACGGTCCTAAGGCCTCTTCAATACTCGAGCCGATGAAGCCGGATGGACAACCATGTTTTGCGTCCGACCTCACTGTTCGTGTCCGACCGACTTACGTGTTCGACCTTACTACGGTGTACGGCACTATTCGTTTCCACTAGCACTACTATGGGGATCCGATTACGGTACGCATGCTTGTAGTCCGGACACAATAATGAAATTTTGTCCTCTGAAGGGCATGCTACGAGTCTCCGCCATACTACAATTATGGGTACTGTTGCCCTTTGAGCACGTTAGCGTCCTCGTCGACTACAAAGAAACAATAGCGAGCTTGTATGGAGAGACCGCGACTCTTTGCACATGCCCAAATTCCCTAACTTAACGTCTTTATCCAGTTCCAGACTAGTGTACGCCCTTTCAAATCCAGCAAAACGCACTCTTTTTGGCGCTTCTGCATAGGTTCTTCTACACGTGCTACGTAGCGACGCAAGCGCTCGCAATGATGACTGGCCGCGTTGCCAACGTATGCAAAGTCTACGTTTCCCTACGATACATTCCATCAGTGAAATGGGGTGAGTAGCGAACCGCGAGGGTTCGTGTCCCCAGAACTAATTACTGTCGCTTCAACCATGAAGTTTGCAATAACTGGCGGTTTCGTTGTAGAATGTGTTCTCCGATTCCACTATCGCCATTGGGTGCGGTAATGAGCACAGACGGGCGCCAGTCTCTTCGGCTAAGCGTAGTTTGGGCTCATGCTTCTACTTGTTGAGACGTAGACGTCATGTGCGCCATCAAGGACACCGATATATCTGTTCGCGCGAAACGATTCCATGCTTACCTGTG